AATTTATTAACCTCAAGAAAAGAAAAGCTCTTATTCTAGCTAAATGCCAAAGTCAAAAGAAACGAAAATATTTTAAAACAAATAAAGAATATACGTTGTAATTTGTTATCATTTCTTTAAATTAATCTATTTGGTAATATGTTTGTTTATTATTAATATTAATTTGGTTCAGCAGTAAAAGTATAATATATTTAGTAGTAGTTCACTTGCTAAATAAAATGTCTACAAAATCAAAAAGGGCATAATAAAATCTTGTTTTTTTGGGTGAGGGGGGGGGGGGGTAGAAGGATTGTTAACACATGCCCTGCAATCTAGTCACCACTTGTAAAAATAGTTTTCTTCTTTTGCTTCTGTATATTAGAATAAATCCTGATAAAAAGTGCTGTAAACATTGTGCATATAACATTGTTCTTTATGTTTAAATCCCTTTTTCAGTTAATGGCTAATGGATTATTGAAAACCGCTTATTGTTTAAGTTATGATAATTATTTTTTCAACACCCTAAAAACAACCTTAAAAATTTAAGTTTAAATTATTTATGCAACTTATCCTTATAAACAATACATTCATAAAAGTTTTTGTGCGTTATTGTTTCATATATTTATTTTGTGACCTCTTAAAGTTTTTACTTTTTAATGATAATATTTGATAAATATAAGTCCAAATAAAATTCATATTTTGCCCATAATGTTTTTATGGTCTAAAGAAGGTACTCCAGCTTGAAGTAATTAGAATTTCGAAAAAAAGTCTAATATATGTCTAATATATATGTGTGTGTGTGTGTGTATATATATATATATATATATATATATATATATATATATATATATACATAGCCTATTCTTAGAAAAAAATTTGGTTGACGGTACCCCCCTCGTTTTGGCGAACTTTAACAGAAAATCTGTTTTTTTTTGCAAAAATTTTAATTTGGGCGGCGCCCAAATCATTACCTAAATATGATTGACGCTGTTGAAAACTGTCTAGAATAGCCCTTGATATATATATATATATATATATATATATATATATATATATATATATATATATATATATATATATATTAAATATATATACAATATATATATATACATATATATATATATATATATATATATATATATATATATATATATATATATATATATATATATATATATATATATATATATATATATATATATATATCCCATTCTCCAAATAAAGTTTTCAAATTAAAGTTTAATAATAATTCTAAAAATAATTTAAAATTAATTATTATTCCAAACTAATAGAAAAATAACATAAAAAAATTATAATTCATTAATTGCATTAAACATGAAATCAAATCGCCATTATTGATATAAAAATGCAATTGCTTAACTGTGAAAATTGGTTTCTTGGAAAAAACATCATGAGAATTGGGATTTTTGGAGTAATTTTTGGGATTTTTGTGGCAACTTGCAATAGTTTTAAAATTTTTTTTTGCATTCCAACAACAGCAAATATTATATAAAAAAGTTAGCAAGAAATAAAGTACTAATCTAAAAGATCCAAAATAATAGCAAACTTGTTTGGTTTAACACCCGCAAATCCTATTTCTTTAAAAGTTCCACCCTTTCTGGCTGAAAAGGTAAATAACTTATTAAGTCTTACCATAAACTCGACTTTAAGTAGTACATGTATTTTGTCAACAAAAATATTGAGAAGGTTATGTCAGATACCTATTGATCAGTTACAGTTATTACGGAAAGTCTTTTAGTTATTGTATATCTTTTTTTTGTTTGGTATTTTATATTAACTGAATTAGCTATAGTTTTTTACTTTTTTACTGGTATTCTTCAATGCCACGCATCCAATAATATTACTCTATAATTAAATGACATTTGTTGTTGTATTTGCTGAGACTTTGTGATTATAACTTTATTTCGCTATGTGATTTATGTATAAAATAAATTATTATTAATTATAAAATTGAACTCGCAATAAATGTGAAATATGAAATTTATGAGCTCGTATTTACTATTTTTAAAACCTTATCTATTTTCAAAAAATTTCTTTTGATGACACAATTTATTACATGATGATGTAAGGGTTCGTCCGTAAGGTACATCGAGCAGAATTTAAATAATAATTAGAAGTAGAAGATCATTGGCTCATTGGACATTGCTATTTTACTATTTACATTGAAACTATTTACTACTTACTAATTATATTGAAAAAGAAAAATATATTCAAAATAATACTTTTGAAATGAAAGCAGCAATAATACATAAAGATAAAAAAAATAAATCAAATTAATTATTCTCAATAATAATTAATATACACTGATTAGCCTATAATAAAAAAAAATATCATTCCTAATATATGTTTAGAAATCGGTTGTTAGTTTGTCGTGTCGTGAAACAACAGCTAATTTTGTGTTGATTTCATATTCATCTTTAATGATACAGATGGTATTTTATTTTATTTTTGGCACTGATCAATCAATGTATGCAGCGCTGAAATAGAGTAGAAAAAAAAAGAACACCAAAAAAGGCACCCATGCTTTCCCAGAACACATTTTAATCTCAGAGGAGGGGGGGGTGATCAAATTTATTTATAAAAAAATTTAAAACAGCTATTCAAGGAATCTCATCCATTGCACATGCCATGTGTCAAATATTTATCAAAAATAGTAAAAGTTGCCATTGCAGTTTTCTTATCGTAAGCTCTCTAATACTGAAGTATGCGGTGCATAGAGTGACTAGGAAAGATTAAGATTAGAGTAGTGGGAAAATGTGAGTTTCTGATTCAATCTTGTTTTAGAGATTCACTCGGATCAGATGATGCAGAAGATGCATTAAGGGTAAAAGTAAGGTGTTCTTGGGCTTTGTTCAGAGACCTTGATAATGATGATGATGATGATGATGATGATGATGGTGATGATGATGATGATGATGATGATGATGGTGATGATGATGATGATGATAAGGATGATGAGGATGATTTTAATGATGATAATGATGATAATAATTATGAATATGATGATGATGATGATAATGATAATGATGTTGATAATGGCGATGATAATGATGATGAGGATGATGGTGATGATGCTAATGATGAAAATGATTATGATGATGATAATAATGTTGATGATAATAATGATGATGATGATGATGATTATGAATATGATGATGATGATGATAATGAATATGATGAAGATAATAATAATAATGATGTTGATAATGAGGATGATAAGGATGATGAGGATGATTTTAATGTTGATGATAATTATGAATATGATGATGATGATGATGATGATGATAATGGTAATGATGTTGATAATGACGATGATAATGATGATGAAGATGATGGTGATGATGCTAATGATGAAAATAATTATGATGATGATAATAATGTTGATGATAATAATGATGATGATGATGATGATGAATATGATGATGATGATGATGATAATAATAATGATGTTGATAATGACGATGATAAGGATGATGAGGATGATTTTAATGTTGATGACGATTATGAATATGATGATGATGATGATGATAATGATAATGATGTTGATAATGATGATGACAATGATAACGAGGATGATGGTGATGATGCTAATGATGAAAATGATTATGATGATGATAATAATGTTGATGATAATGATGATGATGATGATGATGATGATGATGATGATGATGATGATGATGGTGATGATGATGATGATAAGGATGATGAGGATGATTTTAATGATGATAATGATGATAATAATTATGAATATGATGATGATGATGATAATGATAATGATGTTGATAATGGCGATGATAATGATGATGAGGATGATGGTGATGATGCTAATGATGAAAATGGTTATGATGATGATAATAATGTTGATGATAATAATGATGATGATGATGATGATTATGAATATGATGATGATGATGATAATGAATATGATGAAGATAATAATAATAATGATGTTGATAATGAGGATGATAAGGATGATGAGGATGATTTTAATGTTGATGATAATTATGAATATGATGATGATGATGATGATGATGATGATAATGGTAATGATGTTGATAATGACGATGATAATGATGATGAAGATGATGGTGATGATGCTAATGATGAAAATGATTATGATGATGATAATAATGTTGATGATAATAATGATGATGATGATGATGATGAATATGATGATGATGATGATGATAATAATAATGATGTTGATAATGACGATGATAAGGATGATGAGGATGATTTTAATGTTGATGACGATTATGAATATGATGATGATGATGATGATAATGATAATGATGTTGATAATGATGATGACAATGATAACGAGGATGATGGTGATGATGCTAATGATGAAAATGATTATGATGATGATAATAATGTTGATGATAATGATGATGATGATGATGATGATTATGAATATGATGATGATGATAATGATGATGATGATAATGATAATGACGTTGATAATGACGATTATAATGATGTGAGGATGATGGTGATGATGCTAATGATAAAAATGATTATGATGATGATAATGATGTTGATGATAATAATGATGATGATGATGATGATGATATTAATGATGATTATAATGATGATTATAATGATGATGATGATGATGATGATGATGATGATGATGATGATGATGATGATGATGATGAAGATGATAGTGATGATAATGATGATGATGATAATAATGATGATGATGGTGATGATAATGATGATGATGATGATAATAATGATGATGATAATTATGATGATGATGATGATAATAATAATAATAATGATGATGATGATGATGATGATGATGATGATGATGATGATGATGATGATGATGATGATGATGATGGTGATGATGATGATGATGATGATGATGGTGTTCAAAAGTGGTGTTCACTTCATGATTGGAATTTTATTATATTTTTTACCAGAGCACTACAATAATCAAATCAGAAGTACAAATCCAGATATTCAATGTATATTATAAAAGTTCCTTTGTTTAGAAATTGCATACCTTATTTAATCTTCATGAAATTCTGACAACGTTTGAAAAAAGCAAATATGATGAGCACTGTTTGATTGAAATGCATAGGGAAACTGAACAGTTGCGTTGTAAATACATTGAAGGTATAAAAAATGACATTGAAATAAGCAAAGCAGAGTTAGATCAAGTTAAGATAGAAGTTAATGAAAAGAAAAATAAGGTATGCATTATATGTTTTTTATTTTATTGTATATTGTAAATAAATTTTGTATAATATAATATATTTTTTTGTAAATATTAAAAGTATTTTATTAGTCTTTATATATTTTTTTGTCTCCAATTTTAAGCTGTTAAATTAGTTCCCTCTGAGACCTGTTTTTAAGCTATTTAGTAGGCATTATTAAAACCTTATTCACAAAGAAGTAGTTTGACTATTACAGTTAAAATAACCGCCATTTATGTCAATGATTACTGAGAAATTGGATATGTTCTGTTGCTGATGACTTTCCAGTTTCAATTTTAAATGTTTAAAAAAAGTGTTTTTTGATACATTCCAAATGCTATCCATCTCATCACATGGTAAATAACTTACAGTAGTTTGCCATAAGCTATGAATATACATTTATTAAAATTATTCATCATTTATTTCATGATCCAAATCAAACTTTCAAAAAAACCTTATCTTATAGTTAGATCTAGATGATGGCATAGTATGATTTTACAAGAAACATTTACATTTTTATTTAAAATTGTTTTTAGATTGATTTTGATAATCCTTGGTGGTTGCAACTACTTATTTACACTAATGATAATGGTTTCTATGAGAACTTTATCAATAAAGTTAAAGGAGATTTTATAACTTCACTTAGTGTAAAGTATGATGTTTTGAATTATTTTGATTTTTTTTTAATTCTTTAACTTTTAATCTTTTATTTATTTTTTAATGTTTAGCTCTTTGTCTTGTTTGACTTATGAAATCCAAAGAAACATTGATAAGCAAGAGGTATTGTGAACATTTTTACATATAAATATATTTTGTTGTACAGGTTGTATTTATGCATTTGTCTTTTTATTTGAAAAATGTTTATTCAAGTCTTTTTTATTTTTTTATTTTTAGTTGACTCGTAAAGAAATATACACTGAACTGAATGACATTGCAAAGTTTCCTGATTTATTTTGTGTAAGGAATGTAGCTGATTGTTGTTTACAAAGTAACAAAAATGTGGGTTCGGGAAGGTATGTTAAATTTCTTGATTATTAAGTTTTAAATGCCAACAAGTTTTATGTAATGGAGGTTCATGTAAAAACGCATAAAACTAAATGTATTAGGCTTTTAAGGAGTATGTAAAAACGCATAAAACTAAATGTATTAGGCTTTTAAAGAGTATGTAAAAACGCATAAAACTAAATGTATTAGGCTTTAAAAAAATATATTTTCTCCTTCATTAAAAGGAGATTTTGTTGAAGATTTGTAAAACAAAAAGTATAATAGCAGATATTTATATAAAATGCAGACATTTATATAAAATACAAACATTTATATAAAATGTAAATATTTATATAAAATGCAAACATTTATATAAAATGCAGACATTATAACATTATGCAGTATAATAATAACTGACATTTCTCAAATTAGCACATAATTTGAAGAAATGTGTTAATTTGAAGTCCATATAGTTTGAAGAAATGTGTTAATTTGAAGTCCATATAATTTGAAGAAGTGTGTTAATTTGAAGTCCATATAATTTGAAGAAATGTGTTAATTTGAAGTCCATATAATTTGAAGAAATGTGTTAATTTGAAGTCCATATAATTTGAAGAAATGAGTTAATTTGAAGTCCATATAATTTGAAGAAATGTGTTAATTTGAAGTCCATATAATTTGAAGAAATGTGTTAATTTGAAGTCCATATAATTTGGAGAAATGTGTTAATTTAAAGTCCATAAAATTTGAAGAAATGTGTTAATTTAAAGTCCATAAAATTTGAAGATAATTTTTATGAGATTATTTCTATTCTATAAAACTAAAGCAGAAAATTTGCTTAAACTAGATTTTAATAGAACTAGAGTTTTTCAAATTGTATTGGATTTGCTAAAAATGATGCATCAAGCTAGAAAGGGTTAATAGTTGTAATAGTTACAAACTATTACAACTATTTATAATTATAAATAGTTATAAAGCTGAAATAGTTCTGTGGGGGCAAAATTAAGGATGCTTTATTTTCCTGTTTAAATGCATCTGTCATTAATTGAAAATGCAGCATCTAAATTGCCTTCTAAAATTGTTTTTTTATTGTCAGAAATACTACTAACCCTATTTAGTTTAATAACAGTTCACACTGAGATGTAAATATGTGATAATGTTAGTATTTATTATGTGATATAATTAAGATGTGAACATGTTATTATTATTTGATATAATGTGGTGTAATTGAATGAAACATAATTCCATTTGAGAATCATTTATAAGATCACTTGCTTATGGAAAAGTCATAAAATTTTAAGTCATGTGTTTGACAAAACATGAAAAAGTCATTAATGAAGAAGAACTAAAAGTTTCTTTTTCACTTTCAACTCTTTAGATTTATAACAAGACTTTTAAAAGAAATGTTGCTAGACATTGAAAAAAAATGTTTTTTTTTACATTACAAATCTTGTTGTTTTTACATTATAAATCTTGTTGTTTTTACATTATAAATCTTGTTATTTTTACATTACAAATCTTGTTATTTTTACATTATAAATCTTGTTGTTTTTACATTATAAATCTTGTTATTTTTACATTTCAAGATAATGCTAATTCAATTTTTAGTTATTATAGGCTTAAATGTTAAGTAACATAATTAAATTACTTAAATTTTCTTTTAGTTATTCTAATGTAAAGTAACATAATTAAATTATTTTTTTTTAGTTGTAATTTCTGTAACTTTGAAAGAAGACTTGAACTTTACGAATTAATGCTATTCTCTCAACGGTGTTTTCAAAGCAGGTATGTTCATACTTTGTAACAGTGCATGCATTTTTTTAAAGCAGGTATATTACATTTTATAATTAGATATTACTTAATGTATGTACCTATAAAACAAATCTTTTTTAAAACAAGTCATAGACACTTTACATTTTTGTATTGACCCAAGTAGTATATATAGATTAATTTATAAATACTTTGCAGTTTGTCATACAATATTCAAAATTTTTTACCAGTTTAGATTTTATTAGAAAAATTAGATTTACGTATATATATATGTATATATATATATATACATATATATATATATATACATAAATATATACATAAATATATACATATATAGACACTTACTAAAGCGTGTTTTGATAAGCATTTGCTCACTTTTTCTGCTTACCTTAAGCTATAATGTTTTTTTTTTGAAAAAGAAGAAAAAACGAAGAATGATGAATAAAATGATTGCTTCTCCATCTCAAACCCTCAGTCGATATAGCAGCACTCCACAGCGAGTCAGGCTATTTGTCAGTCGATGTATGTACTGAAGCCACCAGCAGCAGGCTATTTCAGTATGACGTCAGATTGCTTACCTTAGTACGCAATACTATTTGTGTATATATATATATATATATATATATATATATATATATATATATATATATATATATATATATATATATATATATATATATATATATATATATATATATGTATATATATAATCCATATAAAAGCATGTGAAAACTCGAAAATATGCCAAATAATAAGTTTATTATGACCTGTATAATATGGGTCATTGTAAGTCTAGTTCACATCAACCATTTCTATACTTATTCTTTATATAGTTGTTTTATTTCAATAATTTTTAGCAGAAAATAAAAATCTTTAAAATCTTTGTTTTGGACTTTATAACTACTTATTGTAAACTTTAAAAAAAACAGGAGCAGGCTTATTAGTTTTTTTCTTTGTTAAGTTTTTAAGTTTTTATTAAAATTTTTCAAGACCATCTGCAGCTTATTAGGACCGTCACTCATTTGATTATTTTAAAGAAAATAAAAATTTAAATGTTAAATCTTTTTTACTATAAGAAAGAAAATTGTCTCTTTAATGTGTGTTAAATGTGCAAACAACTAATTACCTAAGCATGTTAATAACATAAGCATCATAACATAAATGTGTCAGAATTATGTGCAACAAATTTCTCCTGGTGTTTTGATGTTTATAGAAATTTTAAGCTTATTTAAAAGTTCTCTCCCATTTCTTTATTATAGTATATAATACCTTTATATATGTTGTGTATATAATATCTAGAAGAACTTTAAAGATGTTTTTTTTTGTATTTTAGATTAAAAAAAATAAAATTAAATGTATATGCAAAAGCATTTGAACCTTTGCTATGCACTTCAGAAGCACAGCATGTTAAACAATTCAGCCACTAAGGCATACTAAATTAAAAATTTTGAACTCTATTTTATAAACAAAAGACAGTATAACTTTAAAAAATTGCAAATGAATCAAAATTAAAGAGATATTGCTGCAATGCAGTTTTCATGTAAAAGTAAAACTTGATAAAATTTTTAACATTACATAGTTTGAAGTTTACATAAGATATTTGCATACACTCTCGTTCACATTTTCTTATAAGAAAAGTGCTACTCTTTTTTGCTATTAACTAAATTTTAGTCGTACACATCAAAGAGCTACACATCAAATAGATGTCAAGAAAAGATTTTTAATTTAAATGAATATTCAAGCAAATATTTGCATCATCAGAACTAAATATATTATCCAATATTGTTTACATTTATTGGTATGCTTTTAAAGTCTTAAAAAATACATTTAAAAAAAGTATGCCATAACGAACTAAAAAAAAAAGTTTGGTAATATTTTCAAGATATCTTTATATTTATTCAAACTTGAAAGCTTTATGTTCGTTTTAACATAAAAAAAATTTTTCTGGTAAAATGAATATAAAAATAGTCAGGTATTTATGATTTTTCTATGTCTTATACTAAGTTTGGAATTTTAGATTCTTTTCAATAAAAACTAAAAATTTCATAATTTTATCAAATAAATTTAATTATTGTATTTTTCATGCTTTTGTTCAAATGCTCTTTTTTTTTCAACATCTTTAACTTTGATTAAATCTTGTAACATGCGCACATGTTTTTTAATTACTGTTGTATATGTATTTAATTGAATAAAAAATAAAACGATTGAATACTGTGTCAATTTTATTCAATAGTTTTGTTCATGTAAAGTTATTTAAAAGGTAACAAAACATGCACCTTTCATAAATTACTTTTATAACAATTAAGTTGATTTTTAATTATCAATGTCCTTTTTTAACGCAAACTTTTAGTAAACTGCTTAAATTTTGTTTTTAGTGAAAATGAAAAAGTATCTGGACTTAGACTTGAAACAGAAATGGAAAAATTGTTTAAAGTGATTTTATCTTTTGCAAAAACTATTGGTAGTTAAAAATTTTGTATATAAATTTTGAAAACTTTTACTTTTAAAAGTGTTTTGAGTTATTAACATCTTATAAATGGAACTTGAGTATTACAGAATACAGTTATTAATACCTTACAAAATGGTGATATTAACACCTTGTAATGTTGTATTATAAATAAAACTATATATCTTTACAATTTAAATTTTTTTTGTATGTTAGTTAATTCACCTCCCCAAGGCCATGAAAGGCCACTACAGTCGAGAAGGCTACTTTATTTGTGGTTACAACCCTCTCTCAACTTTATAACTCCGAAACATCAACCTTGACAATTGAGTGATCGAATCCAGAACTTCTTGCTTATGAGGCGAGTGCTCTACCACTACACCACTACCACATATAAGTTTTATGCTTTAGGTTTAAGTTATCATGAAACCTATAGTTGTAAAAAATATATAGTTTTATTTATTAAAAATATATAAATACAGCCCGGTGGGAAATCGGCTAGCGAATAGCTAGCTATAATCGCTTACGATAAAGACAGCGATTTGGCCACGAGGATCGCTAGCTTTTTTAAGTTAGCGAAAAGCTATCGATATTTGTAAAGATAAAAACAGCAAATTGGCTATAGGACAGCTAGCTTAATAAGCTAAAGACTAGCTTAATAAGCTAAAGACTACCGTCATATCGTAATATAATCGCTATCAAAAAAATTTTGGTATGTAGCTATCAATCAGCTATAGATTTGTAGATATTTTGTAGCTAGCTACAAAGCTACAATATGTAGCTAGCGACACATTGCTACAAAATCGTAATGTTTAAAGTTCAATTATTCTCATAATTATAATAGACTCAAAACTAAAAATCGAATTTTTAAAGATTTTAGAGACATTAGTAAAGAGTAAAATTTATTAAAAAAAAATCGCTTGAAAATCGCTATAAAGCTAGCTAGTTGCTAGCTCTTTTCCCACCGGAAGCACTGTTTCAACTAAATTTATTTTAATTATATATATATAAATATAAATATATATATATATATATATATATATATATATATATATATATATATATATATATATATATATATATATATATATATATATATATAAACACACACACACACACACACAAACACACACACACACAAGGAACAAGCAAAAAATAATTATATTATTTAGTAATGATAATATTTGATAATAATAAAAATAATATCAAAATTTTATTTTTATATTCTAATTTTTTTTTAACAAAGATTTTTTTTGGACAAGTACCTTTAAAGTTTATGTTTCAAATTAAAAAGTAGGTATATAAACAGTTATTGCAATCTTCCTACAACCCAATCATCAACAGCATCATTGTTAGCTCTGCTAAAAGTAAAAATTAGATTTTGTTTTATTGCCACTACTTAAATGAGGGTGTTTTTTTAAAATCTATTATATAGAGCAAGATAAGGATTGACAGACAACTTAAGAGATTGTAAATTATATGAATCAGGAAAGCAAGATGAAGGAAGTGAATTCCAAAGAAATAATGCTCTAGGAAAAAAACTGAATTGATGGTAATACCTTATTAGTTAAATTAAAACTAAACCTAAATTTGCATTTTAGGTTTAGTTTTAATTTTTTCATAAGTCTAATCTTTTATAGTCAACCTAAATGGAGAATGACTAATTATCTAATCCAATAATGTCTTTAATTTTTATGAATTACTTGAGATTGAGAACTATTTATATCCCAAAATTTCTTTATATTTAAAGTTTCTTGCAAACTATTCTATGAGTAATTACAGCTAAAACTAAACTATGAGTAATTACAGCTCACATTTATCTGTGCAACAATCCAAAGATCAAAATGTTTGTACAGGTTTTGTAAAACTTAATCATAAATTAAAATGTTTATAAAAAAATTAAAATTTTTTGTCTGGATTAACATTTGTAGAAGCATTGGTGCTTATCTCACTCTCTTGGTTAGTAAATCACACAATAGAAAAAAATTTCAAGTTTCTTTGATTTTTGAATTTTTTCTTTTTGTGTTTCTCCCCTTCTAGTATCTTCACTTCATGCATTACCTTATGGTACATAATTATATTACAAGTGTTTTTAGTATGCGTATATCCAGTTTTCCCTTCATTTATAATTGCCTTATCATATATTGTAAAATCTTTACTGAATAATTTCCAAAAAATACTTTATATATCTACTATAAAAAAAAAAATTGCAGCCCCAACTTAAACACTCGATGTCGATGTTGATGTAACTGTAGTCATTCGAGGTAGGTACACACACACACGCACGCACGTACACACATATATGTATATAGCACTACAGCTTTTATGTCTGTTCTCATGAGAATTCCTTAGTGTGCATGAGAATTCCTTAGTGTGGGAGTAATGCTAAAAAAAAATTACTAATCTAGCAATCATTAATAATTTCAAGAGAGTATTGTACCAATTTGTTAATAATGTCCAAAGAGAACTATTTTTGTACCAATCATTACAATTTGTATGTTGTGCATATTAAATATAAATCATTATATAAGAAAACTTTTTTATCAAAACCAAATAAACTTGATACAAATACTTTGTTTCTAGATTTTATTACTTAATATTTAAAAGTCATACGTTCAATTTGCAAAACACAAACAAAAAATAGTAAATTTGAACATAATTGATTTAATTTTTCATAAAAATATTTTTTTGTAGCTTTTATTTGTTCTTGAAAAATTATTTTGAAAAAATTTCCTAATTTAAATAACTTTTTATTTTTAAAGAACTTCTTATTTTTGGTAGATGCTTCTCTTAGTATACTGAATCAAGGGAAGGAATATATGAAATATGTGGATGCATTAAAAAAGGAGTTTAAAGTAAAGTTTATTTTATTTATTACATTACTTAAGAATCTAATTTGTGCATATTAGTAATTATTTGAACTAGAGCGTCTAGGAGTAACTTGGTAATTTATGTCAATAACCTTTTTTTTAATTATTAGTTAAAATGAAAAAGATGATGATTTTTAATATTTTTTGTTATAAAAAGTTTATGTATTTTAGTGTCTGCGTATACAGTTTTTATTTTATTATCGTCAACTACAATTGTTAGATGAGCTAAACATGTGTACAATGAGAGTACAACTCAAGCAAAATAGTGAAGAAAATTCCTATACTTTAGATGGACAAAAGGTTAATACATATCAACATTCAAGTTATTTAGAAAATAATAAAATTTATAATTCAACCACAATCATTACTCTTGTATACTTTATTTCTTATATAATAATTATTTCAAACTAATTATTAGAGGTGTGCTGGGTACCCGGCAAAATTTTTTGTTATTCTAGGTACCTGGTAATTTAAGGAGCTGTTAGCTAATTTTTGGAGGTACCTGGCTTCCCCTGAAGTAGCTAGGTAAATTTTTCAAATGCTCAGGAATCCTGGAAAATGATATATACGCTGTAATTTATGTATATTTGCCAGGTAATTTGAAATTTGCTGGTACCCAGTATACTGCAGGATTTTTCAGGTAATTGACACCTCTTTTTGTGTTTCTGTGTTGCTAAGCACCTTTAAAAATTAAAAAGCACCTCCAAAAGTACCAGGCACCTCCAATAATTGTAAACCAGCACATCTAAAACCAAGATAAACTAGCACATTTAAAATACTAATAATACATTACTGAACAAATAAAAAAATCAAAGTAGTAATGTAAATTAAAATTTCTAATATAAAGTCATAAAGTTAAGAGTAATAGAAGTCATAAAATTATGATATATATATATACAGTATCGGAGAAAACATTTGCAACCAACATCGAACAATGCTAAAATATGTTCCTAATTTTACATGTCTTAAAAATGAAGCGAACTATACTACTACAGCAAACAGTTCAGGAGTCTGGAGTCATAGCATGCCATGACATGAGCAATCAGCTGACAGGTGACAGCACACAGGCAGAATTTTGTTGACAAGTGCCGTTTTGCAGCGGACAAAACAAGTGCAACTTTTTTGGTTTGTTTCATTTTCTTAAGTCTGTTTCGTGACGTGTCAACGTCACGAAAGTTTTTTTATAATTAAAGGAAGTATCCAAACGTTGTGTTCCACAGATCATTATTGTATCATCACAAGTTAAATATAACACGGTAAGCCTTGAGAAGCGTGATTATTTACTTTAATTATTTTTATGACTTCAAGTGCAAAAATGGCTCTCAACAATCTTGGACTGGAACTAAGAAAGAAAATTATTGGCGATTACATAAGGGGAATGTCACAAAAAAGTATTTGTGATAAATATCGCGTGTAAGGTGGAAGACCGCGTTCCACCACTTCTAGAGAGGATTCTATGATGCTCAAATCCGTCAAGAAGGATCTCTGGATATCATCAGTCGAAATACAAAAGCAATTAGAACTGCCTGTATTGAACTGAACAATCAGACGATGTGCTGTTGAAGCCGGATTGTTTTCTCGACACCCTGCAAAGAAGCTGCTGATTTCACTAAAGAACCAGAAAAAAAGACTCCTGTTTGCTACATTTCATATTGACTGGAATGTGCAGAAATGGCAAATTGTCCTGTTCAGTGATGAATCGAAGTTCAACATCATTGGGAGCGATGGCATTTGCTGTGTACGTTGACCGGCCGGAAAACGCCTTGATTTACGTTACTGTCATAAGACCATGAAGCATGGTGGAGGCAATGTAGTGGTCTGGGGGTGTTTTTCTGCTAACGGTCTAGGTCCAATACATTAAATCGATGGAATAATGGAATATTTCATGTATAAAAATATCCTGAAAGATGTTATGTTACCTCATGCTGAATGGAATATGCCAATAAAATGGGTTTTTCAGCAAGACAACGATCCAAAACACACGGCAAAAGTAGTCAAGCAGTGGTTTCAAGACAACCACCTATTGGTGATGGGTTGGCCGCCTCAATCTCTGGATCTCACCCCTATCGAGAACCTGTAGGAAATTGTCAAACGCAGAAGTAATCGTGAAGGTGTTCGTAATAAGGATCAACTGTTTGAATAAATCCAAATACTGTTTGAATAAATCCTGGGCAGCGGCTCCACAAAGTTTCATTAATCACCTGATCGAATCTATGCCTCGAGGATGCAAGGCTGTGATCGACAACAAAGGATTTGCCACGAAATATTGAAAGCGAAACACAGCTTGGTCAACATTTTGTGGAGTTGCACTTGTTTTGTCCAGAAGGAAATCAATTTTTTTTAATACTTTTGATTAATTTATTAATTTTCGTGTACAAATAATGAACTTTGTGATGAATAAAACTTGAAGAACGTTGTCTCTAAACAGTTACATAGTTATTTCTCTATATTGAAAAAATGCAACACTTTTATAAAAAGAAACTAAATTAGCATTATTTGGTTGCACTTGTTTTGTCTGATACTGTATATATATATATATATATATATATATATATATATATATATATATATATATATATATATATATATATACATACATGCATATGCATATACAACCCTCGGAATTAGGGTTGGCATTCGGCAATTTAAGACCTTTGTATTAAATTTTTGCCGACCTGATGCCGACCTCTAATAGGATCAATTAAAAATTTAGAAACTATAGGATCATATAGAAAAAGTTCACGGTTTTCGCTTTATAAATTGAAAATGGTTTATCTTTTAGTTTAGTTTTAGATGCCTTTTAGTTCAAATCTAAAGTATCTTTTTTCTCTTTGTTACTTTCATTATTATGTTGGAATTATAAAAATTAAGCTTTTTCAGAACAAAGCAGAGAAAAATATTTTGAAAAAGAAAAAACAATTTTTGCAATGGCAATTAACTGTTACACAAATTAGCAAAATCATAATTATTACCAGTACAAACAACCTTTGTAATGCGATCAAAAGATAAAGTTGTTCATACCTTAATTTAGAGGTATATCAGATATTTTTGCCGGATATGTTGGATAGTGAACTTTTCTAAAGTTCTATAAGTGTTTATGAAGAAAAAACAAGTCTTGCGAGTCTACAATAAATAGTATCCAAGATATTACTTTGAAAAATCAAGAGGAAAACTGTATGACATGGGATATGTGCTCACAAAGTATAGAATGTAGTAATTGAAAAAAAAAAAAATTTGGCTGAAAAAACAATTTTTCCTTAAACATTATTAACGCATATATACCTGTGTTATACCAGTTTTTTCTTGATTTTATTTTTTTAAATCTTGAACACTGAAATGTGATTGATAGAATGGTAAGACTTGTTTTTTCTTCATAAACACTTATAGAATTTTATAAAACATCAATATCCGGCAAAAATATCTGGTACAACTCTACCTTAATTGCAACAAAGTAAATTTTTTTGAAAACTATTAGCTAATGATCAATTAAGTAAATTTCAAATTATTAATATTTACTAAATGAAAACCATACTATAACAGTAAACTAATGATAGTTAGTAGAACACCAAGGTTAAAACTAAAGAAATCAAATAATAATAAAAAGTAGACATGTTTGTAATCTTTGCAGTTATGTTTATAATACATAATTTTTGCATTTAAACATGAAAGATAATCTTACCATCTTAAGATAATAAATGTAAAACTGTAGATATAAAAAATATAATAAAAAGTTGATTTTTAAATATGTAAACAAAATATAATAAAACTTGATACGAAATGCATGATCCATCTTACATTAAAAAAAATATAATTTGATAAATTTTGATTTGTTAATTATTAAACTAAGTGCTTTTCAAACAATTTTAGTATTTGTTGATGAAAAATGAGATGTATATGAGAAAAATTTGTAGATATATAACTTTTAGGTTTATATTATAAAAAAATAAAACCAACATATACTTTAATTTCTTAATGAAACCAAACTTGATGTAAATACCTATCTATTTGTGGACGCGTGTGTGGTTCTTCAGCTTTCTTTTTTTTTAAATTTTTAAAATGCAAAATAAAACACTTCAATAGCAATATAGATATTATATATACATACTATATTCCCTTTTTCTTTAGATATTATATTCCTTTTTCTTAATATATTATATTCCCTTTTTCTTTATATATTATATTCCCCTTTTTCTTTAGATATGAATTAGATTAGATACTTATTTTCCTAACTCAACTAATAAAAGCAACTCAACTTATTTTACTTAAAAAACTTATAAAAGCGTGAAAAGTAAAATTTAAAATAAACTTTAACATTTACATAAGTTGCATTTGTTCACATTTTTTTATAATTGCTAAAGAACTTTTTCAGAGTTATTTAGCAATTATAAGAGGGTTCTTGTCATTAAATTATTGTGATAGTGGTAGAGCACTCGCCTCATAAGCAAGAAGTTCCAAGTTCAATACCTACCACCTCCCATACTATAATCTATTAGGTATTATCTATTAGGTATTATCTCGCTTAACTTGTTTCTCTGGGCAGCAGCCATGTTTGTCAAAGTTTGTGTTGTGGAGTTATAGAGTTGAGAGAGGGTTGTAACCACAACTAGAGAATCCTCCTAGACTGTGGTGGCCTTCATGGTCTTGGGGATGTAAGCTGAAATTTAAAAAAAAAAAAAAAAATTGGGTATAATGGCTGCCCAAATATGCACAAATGAGTTGCTTAATATATACATATATATATATATATATATATATATATATATATATATATATATATATATATATATATATATATATATATATATATATATATATATATATATATATATATATATATATATATATATATATATATATAATATAAGTTGCTTAATATATAATATGGTTATAATTATATATACATATATATATATATATATATATATATATATATATATATATATATATATATATATATATATATATATATATATATATATATATATATATATATATATATAGTTATACATATACAAGCCTTTTCGCATTCGCCCACACTCCTTTAAAAAAATTGGTGAATGTTTAAAAGCACGCTAGAAAAATTAAAGGGTTTTTATAAAAATTGCAATAAATCTTTATTGTTTATCAAACTCTTTTTATGAAAAAATCGCGAAAACACATTTATCATGAATATAAATAAAATATTAGTTTTGCCGTTCTTAAAATATTTTTTATTTTTTATTATTTAAATATTTTTTTTATTATTTAATTTTATCTAGAATTCAAATGAAATGTTTGTTTTTGTTCATCTTTTTTGATTTGTTGATTTTGAATTTAAATAAAACGTTTGTCTTTCGGATTTTATTTGTTTTGTCTAATATAAATATTACCAAAAATTTATTTTATTTACTGTTTTTATTATTATTATTTTTTGATTCTTTTTGTTAGAATTTAAATAAAGTGTTTATCTTTTTATTGTTAATCATCCTTAGGATATTTAACAATTAAACATACTAAGGATGATTGTTAAAAATTGATCAAACTTTGCTTGATATATTTTAAATGTTTTCCAGCAAAAATTTCTTTTTTGATCCATAAACTTTCCACCATTCTAGGTGGATACTAAAAGCAATTACTGTTTTAAAATATAAAAGTGTTTAAAAAGTAATTTAAATTTACATATTTGGATACAGTTATTTTATTAGGAAGTTTATAACTTTTTTTTTAATTTATTTTGTCTTGTTCAGAGAAAGGTTTTTTTCCTGCACAGAGAAAGGTTTTTTTCCTGCACACCTTGTTCAGAGAAAGGTATTTTTCCTGAATATAATAAAACACTAAACAAAATGAGGAATAAATTAAGTTTCTAGGACCTTTTTCAATTAATTAAGGAAAAGCAATGAATTTTTTAAATTTCAATTTTTCAATACTAAAGGATCAATTAGACACAAGTTAGCACTGTCTAATTGAGCTAAATCTTCACATACTTCATTCTGTAGCCAAGTTTCACATGCATATATATATATATATATATATATATATATATATATATATATATATATATATATACACACATACACACACACATGCGCGCGTACACACACACGTATGTGTGTGTATGTGTGTGTGTGTGTGCGCGCATGTGTGTGTGTATGTGTATATATATATATATATATATATATATATATATATATATATATATATACACACCAACACAGTGATTAAATTAAGATCCTTTTTATAAAATATAAACTTACATTAAAGTTGAGCAAATGTTAAAATTAATTACAGTTGTTACATTAATGTTGTACAATGATAAACCCTTTATCTTTTGAATGTATTTATCTTTTTAATTAAGGAAGTGTTTGTTTTTTTTTTCAGTTAACTCAGTATAGACTTTTATATGAATCTGAAAAAGAAGCAGCTTCATTAGAACTGGCCAAGAGAAAAGGGCAACTACTTTACTTGCAAAATCTTGCAACTGTAAGTAAAGATTTTCTCCATATAATTTTTTTTTTTACATTAGTGTAAATAGTGTGTGTATATATATATATATATATATATATATATATATATATATATATATATATATATATATATATATATATATATATATATATATATATATATATATATATATATATATATATATATACATCTAATAAAATTTCTAAAGTTAGATCTTTAAAAAGTCTTTAAATTTTCTTTTTATTTTGGATAACTTTTTGAATTGAACTAAGAATTTAACTAAAAAGTATTGATTGTTCTCTTTAGCAAGTTCTGGTGGTTTTAAAATGCTAAAGAATAGTTTTTTACAATTATATTAACTATTAATCTATATCATTTTTAAAAACATTTTTTTCCTTAATACCTTTATGCCATTTATGGATCATATTAGTTACACTGTTTGGTGACATGAACTCAATATAAGGATTCTATTGACATCAAATCAAGTTTTTTTGGATCATCAGGATCAACAAAAAAGATCTCATTTTCAAGCATGCGTTTTAGGTTTATAAACTTTTATTTACAAAATCTTACAAAATATGCAAAATATTTGTTGTTGGATAATAAAAAAATGAACACTGCTAGACATGAACAGTTCTTGAATCCATTGTTTTACATAAGTTTTGTGTTTTTAATGAATACCCCTTTATTAATTTAAATCTTTGACATGAAAGTATGCTTAGTATCAGTTTTGTGTTTTTAAGAGCCAATGAACATTCCTTTATTTATTTATATCTTTGATGTCAACAAAAACAATGCCTATTAAGATTCAATAACTTTTTAATCAGCCCAGTTTCATGGATTTGCATCTTTTATAACAAAATTGAATTTTTTTTTAAACCAATCCATTACTTTTTTGAAATAGTGGGTCAATTCCAGATCTGGCCTAAACAAATATTGTCATTTATGTTTTTTAAACATAAATGACCATCTTTGGTCATTTATACTTTACAACTCTTAAACACAAACCTTGACGAACAAGGGTGTTTTGTGGAGAAATAAGTTAAGCATGTGTGGATCAAACTCAGAACTTTTTGTTTATAAAGTAAGTGGTCTAGTGGTGTAGTGGTCTACCACTACATCACTACCGCATAATATATCGTGTCGTAATAGCATAAAATAAGTTAATTTATTTGTTATTATTTACTGTATATATATTTATTTGTTATTATTACTGTATATATATTTATTTGTTATTATTACTTCATTATTATTTACTGTATATATTTATTATTATTTACTGTAGTTAACAATTTTTAAAAATAACACAATGTTTTTTATTCTTGACATGTTTCGTAAAATTTATTTATATTTTCAAAAGATTATTTTGCAATAATAAAACTCTGAAATAAATATTAAAAAATAGTCTTTACAGAGAAATAATAACGAACAAAAATTTACATAATCAACAAGTATATTTATTACAAAATAACTTGGTAAATAACCAATCAAAATAACTAACTGTCAAAAAAAAAATAATAGTAATAATAATAAACTGACAATAAAATTAAATAGATAAGTTTATAGCATAATGTGAGGCTTGTTTATTAAGTGAGGGACTTTCCCATTTAATGTGGAGGGCTTCTTTAATCTTTAATTTGTGTTTGTTTGGGGCATTATCCAAAATCTCAAAAGAATCACCTAGTTAGCCAGATTTTTGCAATTAATAGATAAATTTAAGTGTTTAAATATATGAGATTGTTTATCACTTTTAAGGTGCTCATTTATTCTAGTTACCAAATGTCTGGAAGTTTCTCCAATATAACTAATATTAGAGTTAGCGCAAGAATTTATGGACAACCTGAGAATTAAGCAGTTTAGGAAGTGACTCTTTTAAGCAAAAGAATCTTGTATTTTATTAGTATGAAAATTAATTTTATTTGAACTTCCTTGCAATATTTATGAAAATTTTTTGAAATTTTCATTTTAGTATAATTAGAGTACATTCCAATGTATGGAAGCTTAAAGTATCTTACATTTAAACTACTAACAATGTTAGAAACAGATGTGTTCATTTTCTTATTAATATAGGATTTAATTTCAGAGTCAATAATTTTTTATGGAAATTTATTATTTTGTATTAACTAATTTATCATTTGTATTAACTAATGATAGATTCTTAATATCTTTATCAAAATCAACCCAGGTATTATTAATTTTAAATGTATGATTAATCAAACAACGAACAAGTCCAAAATTTTAGCAAAAAGGAAAAATTTTTTTGTAAAAGACCTCTAAACATTTTTTTGTGATAAACTGAAGTCGAAAATGAATTGGATTTTTAATAAGTACATCTAAAAAGGCAATCTGGTTATCTTGTTCTTTTTCAATAGTAAATTTCAAATTTTTATGTTGTTTATTGAGGTGTTTGAAAAATTCTTGAGCTTCATATTCAGAATGAAAAATAGCAATTATATCATCCACATACCATTTATAAAATAATGGTGCTGTAAAGAAGCAGTTATTGACCCATGTTTGTTGCTGAAATCCAACAAAAATATTAGCTAAGACGGGCGCTAAAGGAGAACCTATAGCATCACCATCCGTTTGATCGTAATATTTTCCTTCAAATAGAAAATGTGAACCAGATGTAGAAATCTGAAGTAATTTTTTAAAGTGATTTTTTGAAAAATGTTTTGAGTTGATTTTATCTTTAAAAAATAAATCAGTTGCTATGATGATGGTTTCCTTAAGTGGAATATTCATGAACAAACTTTCAATTAATTTTCCCTAGTAATAAAATATAAGATTGTTTTTGCTTAAAAGAATCACTTCCTAAACTGCTTAATTCTCAGGTTGTCTATAAATTCTTTGCGCTGGTTTCCTTAAGAACATTGAGCACTCTATTTGTAGAATACGCTAACATAATATATATATATATATATATATATATATATATATATATATATATATATATATATATATATATATTTTTTTTTTTTTTTTTGCAACAGATTTGATATATGGTTTCCAAGAAAGATCAGAAGTAAGAGTTTATCCTAGAAGATGAAGGGTAAATGACTCATCGAGTACATTACCATTCATAAATATAGGAAGGTCTAAATTATTGCGATAACAATTGGCTAAAAAAAATTGAGTTTTATCTGAATTAAAGTTCACCAGCCATTTGAGCCCCATGCTGTTGCAAAAGTGAGATCCTTTTCAAACTCAAATGCCCCATCCAAGCAATTAGAGAGAGTTGGCTTCTTATCATGACAAGAATAAATGGTAGTATCATCAGCGAACAATGCCATCTTAGATGTGAGAATATCTGGAAGATTGTTAATGTAAATTAAAAAGAGTATAGGGCCAAGGATTGAACCTTGAGGAACCCCTGAGGTTACAGAATAAGAAGAAGAATGCTGTCCATCAAGGACAACTTTTATACTACAATTAGAAAGGAAGGATTCAATAACCTTAAAGATGTTTCCAGATACACCGTAAAAAGAAAGCTTATGGAGAAGACTAGCATGCCAAACTTTATCAAACGCTTTAGAAATGTCAAGAGCGATGGCCTTAACATCTCCACCTTTATCTATGCACAATAAAACCTATTGGTTATTACTGTTAGTAAATCAGCTTTAGAATGAGAAAATCGAAATCCATATTGATAATCAGAAAGTTAGTAGTAAGTAGATTCAAGATGATAGATTAAGTGTTTGTTAATTAAAGATTCAAAAACCTTGCTTATGATAGGACGAAGACTAATGGGACGGTAGTTAGACAAATCAGATCGCTCTCCAGAATTTTTAAAAATAGGGATAACAGATGCTACTTTCAAGCAAGCTGGAAAACAGGACTCTAATAAGCACTTGTTGAATAGTTTCGAAAGGATAGACGACAGCTCCGAAGAACATTTCTGCAATACTATAACAGGTATGTTGTCTGGGCCACAAGCTGTAGAAGAGTCTAAGCAGGAAATCACTCTAGATACAGAAGCTGGAGTGATACAAATGTCAAGCAATGGATCAGTGTGTTTGATGGCTATATTAGGTAGAACGCAATTAGTGGAATCAAGAGATGATATTGATGAAAAGTTTTTAGCAAACAATTCAGCTTTGTCTTTAGGTGAGGTGACAAAGTCTGAACCATACAAAAGAGGTGGAATTACAAACTTGCCTTTATTATGGATACTATAGCAGATTCTCCAGAAGTCACAAGAGTCTAATTTTTGTGTTGAAATACGAGATTTCTTGACATGAGAATAGCGAGCTTTGGCGTTAGACAAAACCTTTTTACAATGGTTCCTAGCAGTAATAAACAGAAGTCTGTTTTCTGGAGAATTGTATTGCTGATAGATTTGGAAGTAATGGTTTCGATTGGCAATTGCAGCAGCACAATGTGAGGAAAATAATGGAGAAGAGTGAAGCTTGACCTGAAATTGTCGAGAGGGAATAAAGGATTTCATGCCAGCCTGAATCCACGAAGTTATGTAAGAAGCACATTTGTCAACAGGAAGACGAAAGATTTCTACCCAAGGGCCATCACAAAAAAAATCACGGAAAGAGTCCCAGTCAGCTCAAAGGTAAGATGTACAATGATAAAGAAGAATGAGATAATTCTGATGATAAAGAAGAATGAGATAATAGTTTTAGAAAGATCAAACTGTGATCAGAGGCACCTAAAAGTGAATGTGGAGAAACTGAGCACTGACTAGGATCAGAAACAAGACATAAGTCGAGTAGAGAAGGTAAATGATTCGGGTTGTCTGGAGAGTGAGTTGGAAAGTTGACTATTTGAGTGAGGGATTGAGAAAGGCAAAAAATGTGGGCTTTAATGCCTTGAAAGTCACTGACACTAGAGCCAAGCCACTCAGTGTGATGAACATTAAAGTCACCGACAACAACAATACTGGCTGATGGATAAAGAGAAAGGGCTTGGTCAATATGATCAGAAATAACATCAAGAAAAGTGCAGTCTTGAGATGAAGGAGAGCGATATAGACCAAAGAGAAAGGTGATAGAATGAAGTGGTGCTAAACAAAAGCACATAAAAGAGTAGTCTGTGGATTCAAACCTAGTTTCCCGACAAATGGGTGAATTCTTACGAATATAAATGCCCAGGCTAAGCATGTGACTATTGGAGTCTTTACAATTAAAGGAAGATAACCATCAACACTAAGATCACAAGATGTGATAACTGAACTCAAATTAGTTTCACAAAAAGCAATTAGGTCTGGTGAATGTTGCAAGAGATAAGACTCAACAGAAGAAAAGTTACTTCGAAGACCACTAGTATTAGTGAATGATAGGTTTAGCAAAATTGTTGACAGTGGTTTTTTATGTTTTATAGTTTTTGATACTTAAATCATTTTTAAATTTGTTAAAGAACTTGACTCGAAACATAGATATTATTCAGTATACTGTTTAATAGCCCAAGCAATTACCTCATTACTATTATTAAACCCTAAGGCGTAACAAAAAGCTCCAATGTGGCCTTGGCAATGCTCACCAAAAGTGCAAACAGGGACACCATCCATGGGCAACATGATACTGTTAATACTTTGATATTTTTCAGCTGTTGATGGAATCAGCCTCTCTGAGAGTTACCACAGAGTTTGGGAAACCTGACTACCAGCCGGCCTCAGAACCATAAAACTGAATTTTAGAGCTGTACCCTCATTAGGAGATAATAGAATGAGTTGCCTAGTCATAAAAACAGAGACACAAGCAAAACCATCGCAAGCACAAGCAAATGCATAGAGTCAAGAAGATCCAGCATTCAGCATCCTAAACTGGAAACAATGTATTAACAATACATCTGTGCCAGCCTAATAGATAAAGAATAGGTGTGAGGCTGGTCAACAGATAGAGTCTGTTTACCCCTTAAGTTGTTGCCTAGGAGGCTTTCTACAGGACAGCAGCCGGATGCATTCAACATCTGCCCAAGATGAGTATTTTCATTGAGACACAATCTCTAGCCTTTACTTAACCAAGAGCCCCAAGGCAGGGGGTGTTTAATGTTGGAGTTGGCATCTCCTAGCCTTTACCTAAAAAGGCGTATCCTACAAGGCAGCAGGACATGAAGCAGATTGTACTGGATTACATGTTACCAGTAGCAGGATAAACCTGACCTGACAGATTATATACATGTATATGTATATATATATATATATATATATATATATATATATATATATATATATATATATATATATATATATATATATATATATATATATATACATGTACATATATGTATATATATAAATAAATAAATATATATATTTATATATATATATATATATATATATATAAATAAATATTATACATACAAGTATATATATATATATATATATATATATATATATATATATATATATATATATATAAATATTATATATACAAGTATATATATATATATATATATATATATATATATATAAATATTATATATACAAGTATATATATATATATATATATATATATATACAAGTATATATATATATATATATATATATATATATATATATAAATATTATATATACAAGTATATATATATATATATATATATACAAGTATATATATATATATATATGCATATATATACATGTATATGTATATATGCATGCATATATATATATATATATATATGTATATATATATATATATAAATATTATATATACAAGTATATATATATATATATATATATATATATATATACATGTATATGTATATATGCAGGTTTCACAGGAAGACGTGCAATTTTACATCTTTATATGACCACGCAAGTTACATTTTGCTATGACAGTTTGACCGCGGCTAATTCAAAAAACATTTTAGAAACGCGCTAAATAAAAAATATTCTAAAAAAGTGAAATTAATTACATCAAAACTTCTTAACAAATGTTTTGATATTAGCAAAACAATTTTAAATAAAGTAACAATTTACTGAAAAAATTTTGTTTTTAAAATATAAATGACAGTTGTATATATTTTTTTAAATTAAAAAAATATAAATCGGTAAAGTGTTCATTTCTAAAATAAATCTTATTAAAAGATAAAAAATTGTTTTGTTTTTATAAATGATGATATTCTACGACTACGAAAGTCTCTTTAACGCATTAAAAAGATAAACAAAATTTCGTTAAAAAAAAAAGTTTTAGAAAACCTTTACAATTTAATAAGTTTGATCTTAAATGCTTTTATATTATCGAAACCCTTTTAATGAAGTAAAAAAAAAAGCACTTCTGATTAATTTAAAAAAAAGTATTTATAAAATGTTTTTTTATTTTATTTATATAACTATGTATTTTTTATGAGAAATATTTAACTTTTGAACATATTAAACAAATAAAAAATATATAAAAATGTTGAAACAAAGATTGAAAAGGTTTTTTAATGCGCAAATTAAAATAGACTAAGCATTTTAGTTTGACGAGTTTTATTTTAGTTGCGTTATATATATATATTTATTTTTTTGTGTTTTTGCCTTACCTACGTTTTTTTTTTTTTTTTCTCTTTCGTTAATATTTATTATTTTTTTAAATTTTTTTTCAGATAAGTTTAGGTAAGTTTTTGTAGCGCGTTTTTAAATTTTAAAAAAAATATGCCGTGGTCAAATCGTTAAAACATTATTTTTTTTGCGTGGTCATATAAAGACATAAAATCACACGTCTTCCTGTGAAAGCCTGATATGTATATTCATACCAAACAATTATTTATAGTTGCTTAATCTTTATTAATCTTTTACAGGTTCAAACAGACCAGGAGGGTTACAATCATGAAATTTGTCCTATTTGCGTAGATAAACTTGGTGTGCAGGTATTACAATTTGCATCTAAGTTCTTTTTAAGATAAAATAGTGATCTATTATACTTATGGATATTATAAAGTATTTATGATATTTGTATTTTAATTAGTTATTTTATTATGCGTTTTCATTTATTTTTATTTTATTTACTATGAAAAATTGTTTTTGATGCATAGCACTTAAAATAATCATATATCATCACAGATTTTAGATTTGAATTTGAAATTATTAAATTTTGATTTGATCATCTAGAGAATCAAGTTAAGAGGTTGTTTTGATTGTTAAATTATATTTAACAATCAAAACAACTTAAAATATTTAAATTTTTTTTTTTTATTTATTTTAATTCACCTCCTCAAGGCCGAGAAGGCCACTACAGACAAGGAGGCTACTTATTTGTGGCTATAACCCTCTCTCAACTCTATAACTCCGAAACACGAACCTTGATGAACAAGGCCGCTGCGCGGAGAAACGAGTTGAGCGCGGTACTACCAGGGACGTGGTGAGGATTGAACTCTGAACCACTCGTTTATGAAGCGAGCGCTCTACCACTACACCACTACCGCATAGTTATAATTAAATCATAACTTATTTAAATTTTTTAACAACATTTATTTACTAGCAAATAATACTTTTTATATAGTGGGCAGTCTTTAACTGTGGTCACTGTATATGCTGTCAATGTCTGGTTGAATTACAAAAACATCCTGTTTCAAATGCTAGATGTCAAGTGATTAAATGTCCAGTATGTCGAACAGCAAATAATCATGTTTCTATTGTTGTAACAAAGCAGAAAAAACCAGATAGTTTTGATGCTCATATTACATATAAGGTAATAAGAATTGTTTTTTGAATTATTTAAGGAAAGTTGTTCTTGTTTTTGTAAAATTATAAAGTAATATTCTTACAAATATTAACTCATTAAGATTGTTGCAGCAAGTAATAATCTTATAAATATTAACTCACTAAGAACGTTGCAGCAATATTCTTAGTAAGTTTAAAAGTTATTGAAATAATATTTTAAAATTTTTCTTTATTTTTTTTTTTTTAATATTTGAAAATATACTCTCAACATTAGGGTGTCCCAGAAACATACTTTTTTTTGTAAGAAAACCTCTCAAGTTTTATTCCCATTCTCTTACTATAAAAAATAAAAAGAAAAATTCATCAAAAAGTCTGAAAAAGTGATATCTGAAAAGTTTTTAAAAGTTTAATTTTTTGGAAATAAATATCAATGTCAATGTTTGATTATTTTTGAAATTTTTTTTCTAATGTTATATATGTTTTTAAAATGAACTTATTGATAATCTTTAAATTTAAAAAAATTATTAGTGTGAATAGTGTGATAAATGTGTTTTTTTTAATTGATACATGTGTTTTTTTTATTATGATACGTGTTTTTTTTTATTGCGATGCATGTGTTTTTTTTATATGAAATTTTTAAAAGGCTTACAAATATGCTTAAGGTTAAACATATTTCTTATAATATGTTCTTATTTCATTTTTCACAGTAACTTCATTAAATGGTTTTCAAACATCAAATAAGCTTTGAAAACTCTATTAATAAAATGTCAATTAAAAAAAAGTCAACTAAAAGTAAAATGCCAATTTTACTTTTAAAACACTTATTTTTGAGATATGTACTACATTCTTATCTCAAAAATGGAGTTTTACAAAAGGGATTTGACCACAGAGGAATTTTATAGGGGGAGTTACATGAAGCTCTGTAAAGAATTCTGACTGTTCCTGGACTTTGTTGTTGGAGAGAAGAAAGAAGCTAAAGAAAAACCTGACAAAGCAGTGAATCCAACTTTTTTAAACTGGAGATTTATTTTCAATACATTTCTTAAATACAATTCTTTGCATAATTTTTTTATTCCAAATTTTATTTATTTTAAAAAACTCCACTTTTTTTTAAAAAATGAAATTTTACAGATATTACATTTACTGCTTAAAGAATTGATAAACTTGAGAAGTGTTTTTTTTTTTTTTTTTTTTTTTTTTTTGTTATTTTTTTATATATCCTTAAGGTATTTTAAATTTTATATATAGCAATGGTTGTAATGTAAAAAGAAATCTGAAAACATTTTTATTTCTAAATACTTGTAGTTTCTGAGTATCTCCCACTGTCCAATATTTGCTTTAAGTAACTTCAACTGACAAACAAAAGATTTTAACAGCTCCTATTGATAAACTTTTTCACAAAGGTAAACATTTTAGCAAATCCTTAATTAAAGTAAAAAGATTACCTTCAAATAGTTCATCTGGCGTGGATAATTTCTATGATATTGAAATTGCTGAAAAAGATGTCATTGATTATATAAAATATTTAATGTGTGATTATGAACAGAAAAAAGCCGAAACTTTTGCTTTTAAAAGTCTCGATGAAGAATCTGGATTTTGGCTGAAGGACTTTTACTTTAAAATTCTTACACCCAAGAACAGGGAAAATCAAAAGGAATGTTTGGAAAAAAAGTGGATATCACTGCATGTCAACATTTTAATAAAACAGTAAGTAGTTTTAAAGGGATGTTCAAATATAAGTATAGAAATATATATTTAAACAAATATTCAAACCTACGGTATTATCTTTCTATACATCAAGAAGTTATTGCAAATAAAGAATTAGAAAATTTTTAAGCATTTTTATCACTGTATCTTGTACATTGCATGAAAGTGATTGGATTGTAGTTGTTTATATAGGCAATTTATATCCTGTGTTTGTAAATGAGGTATTTCATTCTCATTCAATTTCAAAAATAATTATCTTTCAACTATTGTTTGATCTTTTTTATTGTGTAGCTAAAATTTAGATAAATTTTCAAGTTTCTTTTGTCAAATGATAAAAAAAAATTATTTGGGATTTTTCAAATATTTTTTAAAATGAGATTTTCAATCTGTCGTTATTGATGGCTACATAGTTAGCTGAATGAAGTATGCTTTTTGAGTCAGAATCTTTTTTAAGTGACCAATGCTTTCAAATTTTTTTGCCAACTTGATTCTGACCTAAAACAGTTTAAGGAAGGCAATTTATTGCTGACAAATATTTCTAATTCCGAGGGTCGCTATTTATTTGTCATTGTATTTTCTATTATAAGCATAGTATAATACACAATGACAAGATAAGTTTAAGATGAAGGCATATTATATGGAGTAAGTATATAATATATGGAGTAAAAACACTGTAACATTTGGTAATTTTTTAAAAAATACTTTGAAAATTTGACATTTTGCAGTGAGGTTATTTTAGCAATGCAATATTACCCTTAAGTTTTTCATTTGCATCGGTAATATGGAATGATAAAATGACTCAAACCGTGACATATTAGGATACACGTTTAACCTTCCCCATTCCCTAATTTGCTGTTTTTTGAATGCTAGTTACAGCATTTGACAGTTTGATGGCTCAGAAGTTTTCTTAGATAAATCTTTTGAAACTAAGACCCAAATTCGAAGTTTAGTGGTTGCGGATTATGATTCTTAGACAATAGTATAGTTGTTTTCCTGTTTTTGAATTTTTTTCTTAAAAAGTTTTACTTATACATGCATAATATAAAGAAAAACTTAGAGTGGTTTCATTGCCTTTAAACTTTTAAAATCGTAAAACCTCAATTTTGACTTTTGAAGTATTAAAAAAAAGTTTAATTGACCATAACTCAGGAACAAATATTCAAAAGGAAAAAAAAATTCCAAATTTCCTTTTTTACTTAATTACTATCACTATATGTAAAATTAAGGATAATTGATTGATATCACTTTGGAACCAAAAGATTGAGCCTTTATCTGGTTTTCTCAGAAAATGGCTTTTAATGACTAGGAAAAAAATTAGGCAGTATAAAGATTGCAGCAAGATAAAAGTTAAATGAACACAATTTAAATACTGCTAGTTGTATGAATTAAATAAACACAATAAAAGAGAATTTTGAAACATAGAAATTGTTGCAAAGAAGTTAGATAAATAATGAAGTTAAACGGTAGGTAGAATAAAGTTTTAAACGTTAGGTAGAATGAAATTTTAAACGGTAGGTTGAATGAAGTTTTAAATGGTAGGTTGAATGAAGTTTTAAACGGTAGGTTGAATGATGTTTTAAACGGTAGGTAGAATGATGTTTTAAACGGTAGGTAGAAGATGTTTTAAACGGTAGGTTGAATGAAATTTTAAACGGTAGGTTGAATGAAGTTTTAAACGGTAAGTAGAATAGTGGTAGGTTGAATAAGAATGAAAAAAGAAATGAAAGATGGAGATAAGTCACCTTGATATAAATTCATGGTGATTATGAAAGTGTTAAACTGATTTTAGTGTAAGAACTGATTTTAGTGTAAGAACTGATTTTGTATAAAAAAACAAAAGTTCTAAAATCAGTTCTAAAGTCAGCATAGAGAGACAGA